TAAAAGAGTAGCTCAAGAGTTGGCTGTGGATGGTAATGACTAGCTGCCCTTCCTCTAGTCTTACACTGCTAAATTAGGGACGGCTAGCGCAGATAACCCTCGTGTAGCTTTGCGCGAAATTCAAAACTAACAAACAAACCTTTCACCACTGACCCAGACGTCATAGAGACCTTCTTCATATAGATGTTCTTATGTTCTTTCCCTACTGACCTAAACGTCATAGAAACCACTCTCAGATAGGTGTTGTTATATGTTATGTGTACTGTCCGCTACAGCTGGTATACATCCATAATAAGCGACCACAGATATTCTACAGGCAATTGCGGAAAATTCAGATCTTACATCGCCTACTACAATCATACTCCAAATCGATTTATTTCGCGCTAAAACTTCGGTTTCTATAATCCGTTTAAGTGAGATGGGTTGTTTTAACAGTTGGAGCATGCTTTTCACGATAGCAGCATCAGCTTCTGTATGTTATACGAGAGCAAACCCGTGGCAGCTGCAGATAGAAGTGATCAATTCTCAAATAATCCCTGTAATAGAAACCTGCAGGTAGTGAAATACCCTGCACAGTAGCTTCCGATGTTTTATGTGAACGTTTATTGTTGTTATTACCCAAATCGCTTTTGTGATAAGCATTGAAAAACTGAATTATTCTGTAGAATGCTGGTCACACACACACCCCTGTTGCATAAATAATATCATTGAGGTTTTTACACCCAGTAGGTGAAGGAGATCTGATGCATGCATAAATCTTTTATCCACAACATACGGTTGTGTTCTGGTGCGAATGTTTCCATAATGATAACGAACATATTCAATGCTAAAGTTGTTTGTACGATGCTTACAATATAACAAATGTAAAGCAGAAAAGAAATTGATATTGAGCCTAGTTATGATTCAATACACATAGACAAAATATATGAATTTCGCACCAGTTAGGTCCGTTTCTATCAATATAACATATGGTAATTCCATTACGGATGAAATAACTTCTTCTAAACCATAATTTAGACAAAACTCCCATTTTATAGATCTTTGTTTTTAAATAAGTTACTTGAAGCTAACGTTTAATTTGTACGACAATGTCTCTTCAGTTAAATACGTAGAATTCCTATAATGAGCAATATTGTGTAAAAAACTTGTATTTACTAAGAGATTGGGTAATTCTAAGATTTTTTTTTTACATTTTTTCAGTTGCTGAAAGAGGGTATGTCCAACGTAACCGATTCACCAGATGGCGTTCTTTCTCGCTTAAATTGTCACAACCTAACCAAACTTTTAGGACAATATTTGATGTCTCTTTCTTCGAATCTCAATCTCACCCAATCAGAAAATGACGATCTTCAGACCGAGAGTAAGCAGAAGAATGCTCTGATGTACATCATCGTTGTCTTGTTGTTCTACTCTTGTGGAATTGGAATCATGATGATCAAGTACATGCGAAAAGAAGCTAAAGAACAAGAAGAGTGTAAGATGTATCGTCGTTACATCAACGCTGCTCATGAACAATATCTCAACTCTACAAACAGATCTCGGCTAGCCAATCGTCTAGCACTTCAAGCTTTAAACACAGTGAACGCCATACCCCAGACGACACAGATGGGCAGTAAGGTGACCTTTGTTTAAAGGTGACCATAACTACGAGTCCACATTTGACGTATAAAGTAAAACCGTTTTTCTTTTAGCTTACTCATATGTTTGTGTATACATATTTACTCCTCTGACGGTATAAAAGAGTACTAAAATAAAGAAAAAGCTCGTTTACATACATTTCTTTATCGACACTTTCGGCTAAGCACTTTTAATACAAGAAAACTTAACTTAAAATGGGAAAATTTTCTTTTACTAAAAAAAAATGATATTGAGTTTATGTATTTCACCATTTTCAGCAGGTTCTAATAATTATACTACAGTTAATTCACTCCAATAGTCATGTTTGTTGTTACCCATTACCGTGCATTTTAAACCAATAGTAATGTTTGTTGTTACGCATTTTAAACTAAGAACAAATAATACCTTAATACTGTAAATTGATAACAAAGTGATGACAAGTTAGAGCCAACTCCCCATTTTGTACCTTATTACTGCAACTTAATAACGAGTTAGATCTAACTCCCCATTTTGTACCTCATTACTGCAACTTAATAAAGAGTTAGATTCAACTCCCCATTTTGTACCTCATTACTGCAACTTAATAACGAGTTAGATTCAACTCCCCATTTTGTACCTCATTACTGCAACTTAATAACGAGTTAGATTCAACTCCCCATTTTGTACCTCATTACTGCAACTTAATAACGAGTTAAAATCAACTCCCCATTTTGTACCTCATTGCTGCAACTTAATAACAAGTGATGACGAATGAAAACCAACCTTGCGAATATTTACCAACAAAGCAACAGTTTACATTAGAAGAAAACGTAATATTTTATTTACAAAAGGAAAATGGCTTTTTCAACCTGAACGGCACTTTTTGTGCACGTGTTTTAAACAGTCGGTGATCTGTACGATTCAGATATAGCTAATTTTGAATTACCGACCACATGGAAGGCAATAAGTCAGAAGCACTTACCGCCACAAGGGCCTTGTTTGTTTCTTCAAACCGAAGAACAATAATGACTGCAGAGTTTATTCAGCAGCATCATGTCTGGAACTTCGAACTTCTCCATTCGCAGCCCTACCCATAAACCATTTAGGCCACACTGAATCGCTTATGTGAAGAGGAAAAGCCTTTTTTTTTTTAGAAATACTCTCTATTGAATTTATTCTACAGAAAGAACAAATCACTAATTAGACAGAGTGCTATTCCCGTCCCATTGATGCAAATTATAGCATTGTTACATTGATTTTTCTCTATAAATAGGTCTTTGTTGCTGCTGTTCAGAGTGAGTTAACCGTGATTAACACATGAATTATAGATTAGTTTCTTTAATGAATCCCAAAGGTCAAAGTTCCAAGAGTTTTTTTTTTTATAACAAATAATGCAGTCACTTTAAAACCGGGTTTCATAAGTTTATTACACTATTTCTAAAAGTAATTTGGTTCATCAAAATTTTGTTTCTGTTCAACTAATTGCACTTTTAAAAATTTCCAATAAAACCAATAAGATGTACCCAGAAAATTAAGAAAACGACAAAAAAATCTACAATAAAATCATCACACATGCTAAGTTATTTCTACACGGAATTAGAAATAGGAACACAAAGAAAAGAAAAACCTACCCGTAAAATCGTGCGATATTTTAAAGTATCTCTTATTACATTTTTAGTTTGTTGTAGATGAAACTGACTGATGTTTAACAGAAGAATATTGCAGTACTGAATATTTCCATGTTACACTATTATCTAAAATGTACTGATAATGATCATATACCAGGGGGCGTCAACCAGCAACTCTTTAACCTACCTTCTGTCCAATTATTGAAATAGGGGTTTCATGCATTGTAGCTTTCAGTATTTTGTTGTTTTTTTACTGAATTTGAAAGAAAAGGGCTCTTCTTGTTATTGGGGTTGCCGATTCCTGTCATATACTATAGATATCAATGTGTTTGATATTGCATATCATTTTACGTTTTAAAGATATCTACATGAGAATAAATTGAATCATATCAAGATCAGTGTTGAACATTCATACAGATTAATGAATGTGTGTTTAGTAACTGTTGTATAGCTACATGAGAATGGATTGAATCGCATGAAGATCAGTGTTGAACATTCATACAGATTAATGAATATGTGTTTAGTAACAGTTGTATAGCTACATGAGAATGGATTGAATCATATCAAGATCAGTGTTGAGCATTCATACAGATTAATGAATATGTGCTTAGTTACAATTGTATAGCTACATGAGAATAGATTGAATCATATCAAGATCAGTGTTGAACATACTATTTATGGTCGGATGAAGACCGGAAGTAATAAACTCATATGTATACTATACAAAACAACACTACAGCCTTCATCAAATGTTAACTGGAGAATAACACAACAACAAAAGCAACAATAACAAAAATTAACATTTTCTTAAAGCGAAAATGTATTTCCAATAATACTTACCTCCTATCACACTACAGATATTACTCGACTGCTAGGGTTTCCTTCAGGCGTCCATCTAAACATTGAGCTGTTTTTTTCTCGTTTGCTTCAGTCTTTTATTCCCCACTTAATTGCCCTTGGCGATATCTGTCTCGTGACATTCTTCACCTACGTTAATGCGCTCTCTATCCTGGTACTGTATATAAGCACCTCATTCAGATAACATTGTCTCTGACCCAATCCGCAGTCTCTAACACCGGTGAGTATTATTGGGAATACATTTTAGATTTAAGAAAATGTGAACTTCCAAAACATACTTACCTCATCTCACACTACAGCTGAATCCCACATTAATAAGGTGGAGGGGTAGGTGAGTGCATTATCCATACAGAATGCATCTGCATAGATATTAGGGGTGTCAATAGACGATTAGCACCCTAGTGGGAGAAAGAACCGTAATACATCCAGAACAGGTATGCTCTTCAATCAGAAACTAATTCATGCACTGCTGGTGAACTTTTACATGATCTATCATCACTATTGACCAGGTTTCAACCAGATAGCCAAGGTTCCACTGCTTAGGGTTGGAATTATACGGCCATGGTCCCTAAATCCCACGTTGGTGGCTAGGGCAACTGGACTGCAATCCATATATATATATATACGTATGAGTGGATCCTAACCTAAAGCCATAGAGTGATGTGTTCCGAGCCACCGGAATTACGATGAGAAGATAAGAAACACTGAAGTGGACAAACATTCTCCCCAACTTGAAGGAGCTCGAAACGCAACATTTCAGGCTCGGAATGACGGGATCGTGTATGCGTTTCTGAACCTGAAGAAACAAAATTAATTCGGTGTGGAATTATGAACACTCATCCTTTCTCCCCAACCATTTGGGCAAGGTAAATTCCACTCTCCCCCAGAATTATTAGTAGTACATGTAACAAACTGTGCTCAACCATGGATCCAGGATGGGACAATTCTGCGATCAGAATTAAGAGGAGACAACAGACCCTCTTTCATTATCAATGTACTGAACCAATATTGATCAAAAAGAAGTGTCATGCTCAACTCAACTGGTGCCTCTCCTATTAGCATCTTAAAAAAAAAACATCCAGGATCATGTACGAGAGCACCCAACTTTGCCTTCTTCCACAAGAGTGAAAGAAATCCACTCAAACACTCTGGAGGAATACTCTCTGTCCACCACCCAGTGACCGGAAACCAGGTGTGGTAAGAACTCTCTACTTCCACTAGTAAGATATGGGGGGGGGGAGTAATGCGCATTAGAGAGTTCTGAGGAACAATGCTCTAGAAACAGTGAAATAGGTGAACCAAATTCTTTAAAGTTTTAAAAGCAAATATCTCCAATTTATTCAATCCAATGATTGGAAGGGAGGGGCAGGATCCGCTTATGCTTTACTCATGATAGTCTGCTCATGCTGTCTTGTAGAATACCTCATTTCTACAGAGCCTGTTGCAACCTAGATAAAGTATATTGATTGCTAGTGTGGAATTGGTTTGATAAAAGCACGTCTGCCTGGGTAACACTCGCCACAGGTGGGATCCTATGAAAAGAGGTAAGGGACCCTGGAAAGTAAAGAAGAGACAATTTTAGTAATGAAGATACTCACTCTTATAATGTAGCAGATGTGGTTAAGATAGCTACAGGGGGTAGTCAAAAACCCTCAGAGGAAGATACTACCAGATCATGCAAATAATGTGGGATAAAAGTATTGGAGGAGATCCACATACAAGCTGACACAATGTCCTCCAGCAGGCAAGTCAACTGGGCCACTAAGGACATAGAAATGTGATTTATCTAATGACATGTGACTCGAAAAAGTCTCATCACTTCCAAAGAGAGCCCTGAATAAGCAATATGGATCAATTTTCGTTCCCACCTCGACAAAGTAACTGGGGATAAATCTCGGAAACTGAAGAATCCCAATAAATAAAACGTCGTTGTCTAGCACCTCTAAAGGCGTTAGTGTGGGCAGCCTAACACTTCAAGGTCCTCACTGGATATAAAAAACAATCTAGATCCGATCAGTCATAGATGTGAGAAATAGTGGTCAGATGAATTGGTGAAAATAATTTATCCCATTTCCTGGTTGCCAGTGTCTTAGATAAGAAGGACATGTCTGGGTATAGGATGACATAGGTAAAATGAGAAAGCGTCCTGTGCACATGCAATGCAGAAAGCTCCGACCAATGACATCCACAAGCCAGCAGCAACAAAATTAAACCTTAAGGAAAAGGTGAAACATGTTACATGATGCTAAGGGTTCAAATGGAGGTTAAGAAAGAGCATGTAATACCACCTTAATATTCCAGTTAGGTAACTGGAATGGTCGTTTGGGATGAAAAACCCTAAACAACATAACCGGCTGAAGAGTACTGGGGACTCAAATAATTTTCATCCGAGTATTTAAAGGTAGTCGATAAGGCTGCCTTATATCATGCAATTGTGGAAGATGCAAAACTCTTGTCAAAGAACCAGGTCAAAAAACGAGTTATGGTTGGCACTTCCGGATGAAGTGGGTTCAATCTCCTCATAATACACCATTGTCGATATTTGTACTATTTCTGTTCATAAATGTTCATCAACTATGCAATGACAAACAAATACATGGCAACCTTAGAAGTTAAACCCCGATGCCGTGTGAATAACCAAATAACTTCCATGCATGAAGCTTGTGCTTCAGGATGGCTGGGTGTATA